GATTCCTATTGACGATTTAGATTCTATATAAAAAGATCATTGATGATCAATGTATTTTTTATATGTACTTCTCTGTAGCAATAGCGCGTTTTGGCTGAAAGATGGTATTGATCAATGTATTTTTCTGCGCTCAGATGCACAATTTAAATATGTTATTTTTCAAACTATCACAAGCATTTGGTCTTCATTAAACTGTATGTGTATAATTTGTGGACTCAATATGAGTCTTCACCGGTTTCGGACAAGAACTCATCAGTTACACGGACACTTAATTTTTATCTTTGATATTGCTTATTCAAAAATAATTGACAACTAATTTTTATTGACAGCTTATTTCCATTCAAGCAAATATGTCCGGCGCTTGGTAGACAGGACCTACTACTGTCCCGGAGCTGAACTAAACTGCGAGGAGATAAGTCATTATGTTTCATGGCTTGAGGATCTTCATACTGCAAGACAAATTTTCTTCCTGCACTTAGAAATGTTAGTACTCAAAATGTGCGACCAATAGTGATGGTATTGAACTACGGTCACATCTATTTAGGAATGATGGTAAGATTTTTACTATTTATTCTCAGTGCATCTTTTGCATACATAATTTTTTTGCTAAACTTTCATTGCTAAGTATATTAATTAAGTACTATACGATGTTCTTCAAGAGGGACTCCCGATGACAGTTGTGCCTCAGGGGATCGAGACAAAATGTCGCATGTCAATTGTTAGCTTACGACCAAGATATCCTGCATTGCACATGAATGCATTCAGGATTTCTAGAAGCGATGAATGCTTAATAGTGAAAGATTGGAGGAAAATTGTTAACGATCGCAGAGAAGTACTAGGGGGCAGCAATGAGAAGCGCAGCCCACGATTAGGAGACAGGTTCATCTGCATGCTCCAGTATGATGAATCAGGAGAGCTATACATGTTCTATGCTATTTTACCAGAGAGAGTAGCTAGCAGGAGTGATTTAGCTAGTTCATGCTGCTCTTAGTACTTGTCCTTTCATGTCCGTGTTCTTCGTTCTGAACTTAATCTCAAAGAGTGATTTGCTTTTGTGGTGTTATATATGAACGCTTATAATATCGTGACAATCATGTTGAACTCGATGATATTTTTGCTTCTGGTACAAGTGAATGTTTCTTCTTTAAGCTACTGTTGGTGGTGATTAGATAGCGATAATGACCATGATGATTAAATAGTGATAATGACGACTACGATGATTTTTAGCTAGCTAGCTAGAATATATGTATACTCATGTTGATGATATGATGCAAGAGTTTTTATATTAATATGATGATGATGATGAGTTATTATATCATTTAATGAAAAAAACCACAGATTAGTTTCAGCTGGATGGATCCTACCTAAGTGATCAAGTATATATATGCCATATCCATATATATTATACTTGATCATCTAATTAGGTGATCAAGTATAGTATGGATATGGCATATACTTGATCACTTAGCTAGCTAGATCCAAATGCATCTAGTCGAAACTAATCAACGGTACTTTCACCTAATGATTTAACAACTCATTATAATGTAAAACAATCACTAAATTAAATTGAAAACACAAAATTAAAGGAAAAATAAAAAAAACACCCAAACATTTAGTACCGGTTGGTGTTACCAACCGGTACTAAAGCCCTACGCGCACCCGGGCCTGGCTCGTGCCACGTGTTTGCACTTTAGCGCCGGTTCGTGACGAACCGGTACTAAAGGGGAGGGGGGACCTTTAGTCCCCACTCTTTAGTGCCGGTTGGCGAACCGGCACTAAAGGCCGTCACGAACCGGCACTAAAGGCCGGTTCTGCACTAGTGTGAGATATGATAATTACTTCAGTACAACTTTTACAGTAGTTGGCATTTTTTGGAGCCGTTCGTTTGCCTCGATCTAACAGTGCATACATACGTGGTACTCGAAAGTACGCGGATGAAAGTACTCGAAAGTACTAATGATAAGGTGGGGACACCTTTTAATCTAGGGGCATTTTAGTCCTAGGAAAAATATGATAAGGTGGCCCTCTCGTCCAATGCAAAACCGCCGCCCCTCTCATCCAATGCAAATGGCCACCACCGTGAAACTTCCCCTCTTCCATCACCATTACAACCGCGGCCATCTCCTAGCCTTCTCCTCATTCTCGCGGCCGCAACTTTGCTCTTCCCAGCTTCCACATCATCCCCCTCTTCCATCCACGCAAAAACCTCGATGGAGCAGTAGATCGAGCAGATCGCCGGCGACGAGAACGCCGACTTCATGGAGATCGCCTGCGGCGACCAGGTCAAGATGAGAAGGTTGACGGAAATCCGTTCTTGGTTTCACAACACAAGTCAGATGCACTGGACGGCAATGGCCACTTTGAAGCAACTGACGAGTAGGGAGAAGGCAAAGCTTCCCCCCCCCACCCGCACAACCGATGCACTTCGTCGAGATCCTCCTCTGGGCGATGGAGCAGGCCGATTCATCCAGCCCGTGGACTAGGCGAATGTGGTGGGCGTTCATATCCAAGGTAGAGAATCCACTAGATCAGGAACCCACGGTGCACGAGGTGCCGTTGCAGATTGTGGAGCCTCCAACCGAGTCGAAGATGACTCCAAAGCGCAAGAGGAGGAGGACAATGGTCGCGACATCGCTTCCCCGTCGTTCTCCACGCTTCCCTCGCCGCTCTCCTTGTCTGAACGGTGGCCGTAGCTACGTTTAGGGTAAGATTGCTGAATTTCATTCATCATTACTTGCCACTTGCTTAATTTGATTCTCTGCAATATGTTCTTCCTACCTGTGTACTTGAATCCGTAGCCTCTGGATGGCAGCTTAGTTTGATCGACGAGGTTGCAATGAGTGTAGGCATATAGCACACTACTAGAAAAACAGCTATAGCCAATATGGACACTAATGACACACTATACATCTGGCGCGTCATGTGTAGGTACGCCATTAGTAACAAAAACAGTAATGCATGACGCACTAGGTGAAAAGTGCGCCATTACTAAGTTTGACCAAGGTTTGACCCAGTCATACACATAGTAATGGCCCACTTTTTATAGGTGCGTCATTACTAAGTTGACATAGTAATGGCGCACCTTTACAAAGTGCATCATAACTATGTGTATGACTGGGTCAATCCTTGGTCAAATTTAGTAATGGCGCACTTTGCATAGGTGCGCCATTACTATGTCAAACTTAGTAATGGCGCACCTATACAAAGTGCGCCATTACTAACTTTGACCAAGGTTTGACCAAGTCATACACATAGTAATGGCGCACTTTGTGAAGGTGCGTCGTTACTGAATGCACCCCCCTTTGTGGACCGCCTTTTCAGTTTAAAAAAATAAAAGAAAATGATGGAAATGTCAAAAAAAAAAGAAAATAAGTTTCCCATGTGATATGTGGTCTAGTTGTTGGGAAAATTTAGAAATATGAATTTCGACTTTATTTACAAAATCTCTCTGGAATTTAGTAAAATGGGCATAACTTTTGCATACGAACTTGGATTAAAAAGTTTTTTATATGAAAAATCATCTACTCGAAAAGTTACATCCTAATTCAACTGGGGGAACCCCGTTGAAGATTTTTAGAATCCCCAAAAACCTAACAGAATAAAAGATACAGGGGTTTTAAGATTGAGAGGGTTTAGGGCGTGTCAGGAGAAGGGGGAGGTGGGCGGAGAAAGGGCTGGTGACGGCAAGATGGAGTAGCCTAGTTTAGTTGAGGACTGCAGCGCGGCTCCCGGACCGCACGGTGGTGGAGCTCATCGTGGCTAGGCTTGTTGCGCGGCGACCGGCGCAACTAGATCCGTGTGTCAAGGAGAAGGGGGAGGTGACGGCAAGG